TTTTTATAACCTCTTCATTAGCGAAGAAAGTGATGGGAAAACACAATAAAAAGTTAAATTACAAGTGAAGGATAATGTATACTACTAATAGAAAAGCCAAGAAAATATTTGGTTGTATCACAAGATTTGCTATCTCGACTAATTTTATTATAAAATAGATGTTCTGTTAATAAGGGAAAAATTAGAAAAAAGGGAAAGCTGTAATTAATTTTAAAACATTTTCTAAAATAATCCTCATCAATTGTTGATATTTAACTTCTAAAAATCCACAGAATAGAGGGACTTCCCTGGTGGTCCAGTGGTTAAGACTCCTCGCTCCCAGTGCAAGGGGTCCAGGTTCCTGGTCAGGGAACTAGATCCCACAGGCCACAACTAAGGTTTTCATGCTGCAATTAAAGATCCCACGTGCCATCAACTAAAGATCCTGCACGCAGCAACAAAGATCCCACATGCTGCAGCTAAGACCCGGCGCAGCCAAATAAATAAATAAATATTTTTTTAAAAAAATAGCTGCTCTGCTTGTCCAAAACCACTAATAAAAATAAAGATACACAGAATAGAATAAAAGTTATTCTTCTGTATTATAAGAAACCAACCCCTGTTTATTTTTGTAAGACAGCTAATCATACATGTTCCTTGTCTTCTCATTTAAAAGACTTTTCTCCCCAAAGCTCAAGAAGACTTCAATGTGTGAGCCCTCTTTCTTAGTTTAATAAGAGGTTATTTCACCATCAATCTCACTTGGGAAACTACAAGTACAAACACTTTATACTGTGTTACATCTTCTAAAATTCTGGAGTAATTTTGTAATTAAATTATACTTCAAGAATTATACTTCTGGATTTTACCCTCCAAGTATCAACCATCCTCCCAAACTCCCCCATCCCCCAGATGGCTGAAGCACAATTCTAAGGCCAATTTAGTATCAATGAAAATATTTTATCAGATTACTTCCTAAAAACATTCCAATATTTAAGTCTTTGAGACAGCATAGCAAATCCAATTGCATTACCTCTTTATCTTTTAGTCCCAGGAGCAATACTTCTTCCATAAGCGTGAGGCGGATATCCTTAGAGTCTTCAGTGTCCTCATTGTCTTGACTTCTGTCTTGATTAGTGTCTTCCTCACTTTCCACCTTCTTTTCAGAGTTCTTCCCTCCTTCTGTACGACGGGCCCGGTGAGTTAAAGTGGTCATTCTTACCTGTCTCTGGAGGGGGTGATGAAAAAATATCTATATGTGTGCTTATGTAAATAAACATCTAGATATTCATAAATGCATACTAAAAATATATACAGGTAAGAAATATTTACAAACTTAAATAAAGAAAGGAAAGAGTAATGACCAGAAAAAATTAGGTGGATAACAATATCTTTTCCAAAGTAAAATAGGTTGAACTCCACTGGAGGCATTGACAAGAAATCAAATCATTAATTCTAAAGACCAGTAGAAAGGACCGACTTTTTTTTTTCTTTTTTTGTGGTACGCGGGCCTCTCACTGTTGTGGCCTCTCCCATTGCGGAGCACAGGCTCCGGACGCACAGGCTTAGCGTCCATGGCTCACGGGCCCAGCCGCTCCGCGGCATGTGGGATCTTCCCGGACCGGGGCACGAACCCGTGTCCCCTGCATCGGCAGGCGGACTCTCAACCACTGCGCCACCAAGGAAGCCCAGGACCGACTTTTAAGCCTGCTGATTTCTTGTGCATAACCTAATCACATAATCATTGTGATTCCTTTCACAAAATGGATTCTCCCCAAGTTAAATAATATGGAACAGCAAAAAATTGTGAGCATCCAGCTCCGAAGAGCATACAGTAATTTATGTGCAATTTCTATAAATATTCAACAGTTCATTATAAAACATACAAAAAAATAGTGAAAAAAATTAAGAAAAACTAAATAGAAATATATGTTCTAATATTTCCTTCCCAAACCCTAATGACTCATTTCATGCATTCACTTTGGAGATTACCAGTCTACAGAATAACACTCAGAAGATCATGTGTAGTAACTTTCATCTCTATCCCTAGGCTAGCCACCCTGCAAACACACAAACAGCTGACAACAAAAAGCACTGGCAAGAGAATGTTAAAAGATTAGCAGATTCTTTCTCAAGTACAAAAAAAATCAGAGCACAAGCCCTTTTATACCATGCACTATAGTTTTTTTAAAATCTACAGTCAAGAGAAATTGCACTACCATGTGTGATAAAGTTTAAAGTTAGCATACTTTAGATATATCTAAATGTCATTTTTAAGATGAAATACAATAAATATTTTAAATCAGCAATTACTGAAAATAGCTTTTTCAAGATCAAAAGAATGCATTCAAGAGACTGGATCCCATTCTATCTTCTAGTAATATCTTCCATTACTCCCAATTATGTACTGGTAAACCATTTCTCAAACATGTCCATGCCTTCCACCTCTCTCCTTTGTACAGGCTGGAGTTCTCTCCCTTTTCCCTTCCTTTCTAAATTCTACACATTCTTCAAAGTCCTATTGAGGACCCACTGTAAAGCCTTCAGTGAATCTGCTTCTCCATTACCCCTATGTCCCATAGCCAGAATAGGTCTCTCCTCAGCTGTACGTTCACACAACTTTATTTATACTTACTTCCTTTAAAGTATTTATTATAGTCTTTCTTTTGGTATGGCTGTCTCTCAACTGTAAACTTCTTGAGGGCAGGGATATTGTCTTCTTGGGTTTTTATATTCTCCATAGCAACTAGCACAATGTCTTTAACGTTGTAACTGCTCGATAAATATATACTGATTAAAATGAATACTCAGAAATGCATGTAAACGTTTAAAAAAGAAATACAAATGAAGTGACTTACAAAAGATTCTTTGTACAAGGCTATATTTCAAATAATTCTTGGCGGGAGGTGGGAAGAAGAGTGAAAGAGGAAGAGAAGCATGAAATAAATGCTTAAAGGCACTAACCCTATCTGGCACGGTGAATAGAGCTCATATCCTAACCCAATCCAAGAAACTTTAAATCTTCAGGGCAAAAAAATAATGGGGCATTTTCTTTGAAAAATTAATCGCCCTTGGACATTTACTAGTTAAAGACCCTATTTGAAAAAAAAAAACCCAAGGGCCCCAAAATTAAATAAATAAAAACCTCCCTCTCCCCACAAAATGAAAAATTTGGAGGTTTTTTTTTTTTCGACGTTAGAAAATGTATTGATATTTCCCCCGTTGCTTACCTGACGTTATTTCCTGGGTTACGGCCAAACTCAGGCTGCAGCTTGCGCTCTATTTCAGGGGGACACCTGTCCCCACCCCCACCCCCCCACCCCCGACCGAGTAGGTGAAAAACTTCTCAGCCACGCAGAGAGAACAAACTTCCTGATCCTTCGATGCACAGAAGGAATAACACATCAGCTTCCTCAGGATCACTAAGCAACCTACCTTGGTTTCTTCATTGGACCAATCAGAAACCTCCAAGGTTGAGTTCAGCCAATCGGAGCTTACGAGGGGAGGCTCTCCCCCCGCCCGGCTACTGCGTTGCGATCCAGACAAACACCACCAAAAGGAGGCAGGTTTGGGCTCAACCTGACAGCTGGTCAATCCAATGAAGGAACCTTGGTAGAGAAAGGAAAGAGGGCTGCGCTCCCCACCCTCCATTAAACCGGCCAATCAAAGCGTTCGGTGAGCTATCACCAGCTGCCGATCTACAAAGGTTTCTGTTGGTCAACCTCAGTGTAGCAGGTGTGTTACTGTAGCAGTGTATACTGTACTATTACAATTAGGTGAGATGGGTTGGGATCCAATAAAGCTAAGAATACATAAACATTTAAAAATTGGTTGTTTTCGACAGTTAGCTTATCCCTAACTTTCCTGTTCCAGAAAAAACCGATCTGAGTCAGTTTGTGGACGTTTACTTGGTTTACATTAAACAGAATAGGCACATTTCTACCATAGCATTCGTTCTAACATTCGCTATTAGTGCTTGTTACTGGCAAGCCCACGGATAATAATATGTTTTTAGAATATGGCTGCTGAAAATGCAAGAGGCAAACAGACCAAGTTTTAAGCTTTTCTTTTCTAGAGCACAGAAAACAGTCAAGTCTGGAACCGGGTCCCAGGTTTCTCACTAAAAGCACAGTATCTTTCACTACCACTCAAAAGTTCTAGAAAGCGTGCTCAACTCTTGCAAAGTAACATCTACTGAAATGATCTCAAAATTAGTGCCTAAAAATTTTCTGCTATTTAAATAAAAATTAGAAGCCATGAAAGAGTCTAGATGCTGAACATTTTATTTATGCTGCCAAAAATGGCACTTTAAAATCATTTTCTCTTGTAGTAAAAAATGTTAAAAGTTAAAGCACCGATTTTTAATTGTACATTATATATTATCATGTTAATACACTATATCAAAGTACTGAAGAACATTGTTTTAATAACATGACAGACATAGCCAGTTAAATTGTATAGTTTTAACACAAGTAAAAAGTGAATTACTATCAAAATTTAATACCAAAATAAACATTATTTACTTCAAAAAATGGCTTTAGAGGACCTTAAACGTTAATATATGTTAAAAGAAAGTGTCCACCAAAATGGAAGATAGATCAATATTGAGTAGATAATTAACATAACAAATTATGACACTGGTACTTTTAATTCAAAAGTTCTCCTGAGTTTGTCTCAGATAAGATTAAGGATCACAATATGATAGTCAGCTAAGGATTAATTTTAGTGTACTAACTTCTTAAGACTAATGTAAGTTTGCAGAGGTAGGGCAAACACACCTTAAAACAGTAATATAATGTCCTTTAAATGTTGTGAAGAACTTTGCAAACATGCAGAAATAAATTTTTTTTTTTTTTTTTTTTCGCTGTGCGTGGGCCTCTCACTGTCGTGGCCTCTCCCGTTGCGGAGCACAGGCTCCGGACGCGCAGGCTCAGCGGCCATGGCTCACGGGCCCAGCCGCTCCGCGGCATGTGGGATCCTCCAGGACCGGGGCACGAACCTGTGTCCCCTGCATCGGCAGGCGGACTCTCAACCACTGTGCCCCCAGGGAAGCCCAGAAATAAATTTTTTTATGTATTTTTCTTTGGTTCACTAAGCTTTCTTCTTTTTGGCACTGACTCTTGACTAGAAGAATCAAGGTGATGAAGGACCTGTCAAAAGAAAACAACTACTAAGAATAGATACTTTCCAGTTTAAATGTCTTTAAGTTTTGAGCTTTTTCATGTCTCTGAGGTCCCTTCCTTCCTTCCTTCTTTCCTTTCTTCTTTTAAAAAATTGTAACTAACATACCATTTCCTAAGATAGGATAGCTGGGTTCTCTAAAAGTAGGTAAATTTTATTATTGACATATTTATATATCCTGATGGCTGCTGAAAGTATAGCCTTACAAAGTATAAGGTTTTCATTAGGGATGTTGGAGTAGTTAGAAAGATAGATTTGACATTATGTTCTCAAAATAGTAAAATATTTTGAGGGGAATGAGGGGGGAGAGATTAAAAAATGAGCTGCAAATAGAGAAACATTCCACTTTGGCATCATGTAAGATTTAAATCATGTTTTGTTTTTGTATATGGTGCTTAGCAGTGCCTGATAGATTTTAGAAATTCATTGCACCCTTGAATGAATGGGAGGGTGAATTAGGAAAATTGCTAACAAGATTCTGAGTTATCAAACTTTTATTTTTCTGGTAAAACTCACTAATGATACAAATTGGATTATGATTTTGCAGAAAAAATCAAGGCTTAACACACTGGGGAAAAAATTAAAGAACCTAATATATCAGGTTATTCCATTCCCTTCTTAAGATATATAAATTGAAAACAGTATTAACCAACTAGTATATTTTTGAGATTACCCCTTTAACACTTGATTTCTAAAAAGAATCTTAAGTTTTCAGTTATCTAATTTTAACCTACTACTACTAATAAAAATTCTGGTTGAAAAAGTATAAATATTTATCTCAGAAATGACAAATACATTATCTGATTTGGTAAAATAAGGTTCCAAATATAAGACAACTGTTACAAGATTTAGGTCAGGAAAATTTTCTTTCTTCTAAGATACTAGGAGGAGATGCTATATTTTTAGAGAAAATGTGGATTTGGTAACTTACCTTGTTTCTACTTTCTCTAGAAAGCTCAGATCAAACCTGTGGCCCAATTCTAATTCTATATAAATAAAATGGCCTGAATATTCTTGTACTCTCATTTTCTCATTCTATTCATATTTTTCCTGACATAGATCTTTTAAATTTTTATTTTATTTTTATTTATTTTTGGCTGCATTGGGTCTTTGTTGCTGCGCGTAGGCTTTCTCTAGTTGCGGTGTGCGGGCTTCTCACTGCAGTGGCTTCTCTTGTTGCAGAGCATGGGCTCTAGGCGCGCGGGCTTCAGTAGTTGTGGCACGCGGGCTCTAGGGTGCAGGCTCAGTAGTTGTGGTGCACGGACCTAGTTGGTCCGCGGCATGTGGGATCTTCCTGGACCAGGGATCAAACCTGTGTCCCCTGCATTGGCAGGCGGATTCTTAACCACTGCGCACCAGGGAAGTTCCCTGATGTTGATTTTTATTTTATAAATTCCTCCAACTATTTCAGATCATTCATGGAATAAGACAGTAAATGTTTACATGGAAAAATTAATAAACCACATAGCATATTTTATTTTAAAATCACCCCATTTTTTAGAATCAAATATATTTAAACAAGATTTAGATACCAGAGCTCTGAGGTATATCCAGGAATATAATCATATTTATCATTAAATTTAATCTATAGTAATGATATTCTGATACTTGCTATTTTATTCAGCCTATAAGACTTACTGTTTTCGCAGATTCAAGCTGACTTCTCTTCCGATTTTCCTTAGAAGATTTTACTTGTTGATTTCCATTAGCCTCCACAAAGATAGAATAATTACTAATTGGTTATTTCTCAAAGAACAACAAACATGCTTTTTCAACCGCAGGCAGCTATATGCGGTTTTTAAAAGAACAACTTTACTGCGATATAATTCAGATACAATTCATCCATTTAAAAGTGTACAAAATTAAGTGATTTTAAGTATATTCACAGAGTTGTGCAACCATCACCACAGTCAATTTTACAGCACTTTCATCCTCCAAAAAGAAATCCTGTACCCTTATAGCTATCACTCCCCTATTCCCCCATCCTCCCGCCAGCATTAAGACTTTCTGTTTCTATACAAATCCCTATTCTGGGCTTTCATATAAAGGGAACCATATTTTATATATATATATATATATATATATATATATATATATATATATATATATAGTGTGTGTGTGTGTGTGTGTGTGTGTGACTGGGTTCTTTCACTTAAAGAAACGTACTGGTACTTCATTCCTTTTTATGGCTGAATAATAATAGTCTACTGTATGAATACCACATTTTGGGGCTTCCCTGGTGGCGCAGTGGTTGAGAGTCCGCCTGTCGATGCAGGGGACACGGGTTCGTGCCCCGGTCTGGGAAGATCCCACATGCCACGGAGCGGCTGGGCCCGTGAGCCATGGCCACAGAGCCTGTGCGTCTGCAGCCTGTGCTCCGCAACGGGAGAGGCCACAACAGTGAGAGGCCCGCGTACAGAAAAAAAAAAAAAGAAAGAATACCACATTTTGTTTATCCATTCATCTGTTACATTTAGGTTTTTTCCCCCACCTTTTGCCTATTGTGAATAATGCTACATATGCGGTTTTTAAAATGAATATTGGATGGTGACAAATTATTAGCTGCTATAGTATTATTCTCTAAAAGTACATACTTATTTTCTGATGCTTGCAATGTCCTTTTCAATGATAACTTCCTTAGTATATATATTATTAAATATTTTCATTTCCTGCCCTTTTCTAACCATAATTCAGTCATTATTCTCAAATACAGGAGTACTTTGGTGGAGTAAAGGATAGTAAAGGATACTCATCCTAAACAGAAGCTGCCTAGAAGAACATTTTGCTGCTAGAGGTAGTAATTTTTGAAATTCTTTTATCTCTTGCTTTTCTCAGCACACTAGTTTGAACGCTGCCTTCTACCAGTTCTTAACTTCCCATCGAGAATGTGGAAAAAAAGGATACCTAAAAATGGCACTATCATCAATGGTGTTCTGGTAAATGTTTAACAACCAGTTCTCTGGGAGAAAGAAATCCTGAGTTGAGGCATTTGCTGATTTCCATGCTATGAATACTCTCATCATGTCCAGTTTCAAGCTGTCAACATGATGTCACTGAATAAAGAGTTGGAAACAAATGCTCCAGCGTACCACTGTTAGAGTGTGCTATTTGTTTCCTTACATTTTGCAGAATGCTTTTTCTTCACCTCTGAACCTTTGAGAGTAACTTAAGGGTCTAAATAAAATACAAATTTCTATTCAGTACAACTCATAAAACAGTCATTTTTAATGTCTTATTAACACGATAGTCCATTTACAAGATAGAACATGGGAACAGTTTGGTGTTCTAGGAAATTTCCTTGGGAGTCTGGATGATAGCATCACTTCTCAAAGCCTTTCCTGGATTCCCCTTTCTATTTTTTTAAAATAAATTTATTTATTTTTGGCTGTGTTGGGTCTTCATTGCTGCACGCGGGCTTTCTCTAGTTGGGGCAAGAGGGGGCTACTCTTCGTTGCGACACGCAGGCTTTTCATTAGGGTGGCTTCTCTTGTTGCAGAGCACGGGTTCTAGGCGCGCGGGCTTCAGTAGTTGTGGCACGTAGGCTCTGTAGTTGTGGCTCGCGGGCTGTAGAGCATAGGCTCAGTAGTTGTGGTGCACGGGCTTAGCTGCTCCAGGGCATGTGGGATCTTCCTGGACCAGGGCTTGAACCTGTGTCCCCTGCATTGGCAGGCGGATTCTTAGCCACTGCGCCACCAGGGAAGTCTCTCCCCTCTCTACTGTACCTTCAGTAAAATTAACCATTCTTTCCTTTGTGCCTCTATGTAGCCTATTCAGACTGTTATTATGGCCCTGTATCACTGCTTGTTGACCTCCAATTACTACATTTTCATCTAAGAACAAGTTATACCTCCAGCACCTAGTAAAGTACCTGAAACATAGTATGTGCTTACCAAACGTTGGTCCAATAAATGAAGTATTAAAAGCAAAATAAACTCAAATATGGGGGGAAATTACAAGGTTAGAATGGAAAACAAATCTAAAGAGATGCTTTTACCATTTTATTCTGAAAGATTTTTCCACTTCTTGTTTTGCTTTGAGACACATCAAGTTCAGATGTTTTACTGACTAACTGCTCAACCTAGAAAAGAAAATAATTACACAAAACCACATAAAATAATATAATAAAAGTTTTTCGTAACAATAATGGGGGTCAAAAATTCAATCACATGAAATTTAGGGTCTTGCTATGTTGGGTTAATGAAAACCAATAATTTTGTGTTGGTTCTGTCATAAAAAGTGCAAAGGTAAAGATAGTGAAACTGACACTGTATACAATTGACCATTCACTGAATTCAGAAAGTCCCAAATTATCACTAGGCACCACTCTTCCAGAAGATAAGAACTTCAGCCCACCCCCATTGAAGAAAGGCTGCGCAAAGGAAGGCAGACAATCATCAGTCCCATTATTTTCATGTTGATTTTCTCTAAATGTTATTTCAGGATTTTAGTGTGTGTAGAAAACAAAATTAAACATGTTCTGCTCCAAGGCAACAAAAATGTATTATATAGTCCATTTGTAAATACAAAGGGTTGTGGAGTTAATAATTGCTTAAGATTTTATTTAGCTCTGAAATTCTGAGATTCTCTGAACAGTATTTAGGTTCATTACTAAACAAATCAACCAATAAAATACTTAAAACTTTTCAACGTATAATTCTCGAATTTTATTAATAAGCATTCTTAATACCTAATTTTCTTCTAAAAGACCTAGAATATAAGAAAATCTGAGAAATAACTAAATAAGCATATAAGCACCTGTCTTTTGAAAAAAATAAAATTAGAAGTGAGATAGAACTGTCAAATTTATACCTGAGAATGAGAAATTGAAAGATCTGGACTTTCTTTAGACCTCATAGCTTCATCTTCTTCACAAACTACACCTGGTTCTGTTAAAAAAAAATAGTTAAAATGGTATAAAATTGAATTGGAAGTGAATTAATTTACATTTTCATTAACTCCTTACCTCCAAGTTCAGAAGATCCAGGGTTTTTTTTCTGCTCTTCCATTTTAGTTTCAATGTCAAAATCATTCTACATAATTACATGAAGGAAAAAATGGACATATTTCAAAAAGAAACTAAAACAACTGGGTAGAATATTTATGAACAAATTTGTTTTATGTGAAGGTTAAATATAACATAACACTACAATGACCTTACACTTGCTAGAAATAAAGTGGCCCTATAATTACTATAATAAGGCAACTTATTTATCCAAAGTATAAAATCCTATTTTTTTTTTTTTACTTTGCAGGGTTGCTTTAAGGCAGATGATAAAAATATACAACTTTCTCAAAAATGTATGATGGTTCTAAGAACACTTAGATCTTACTATTGTTTGAGAACACTGAATTAGACATGGTCACACAACAAGCTACTGCTTCTGTAGCTCTGGAATTTCTGTATAGATATTAGCATAAACTCTGAATATGACCCAACCCTCTTCAGGGAGTTGGGGAAGGATAAGCACAGTTATGGTATGGTAGAAATAGCAAAGGTTTAATGTCTATAATTATTATTCCTTTTGTGACATTTGTCAAAGAGCTTTAAATATTTTAAAGAACGCTTCATAAATCCCAGCCATATTTGTTTATAAGGCAAGACTGGGATTTAGGTTTTAGGAAGAAAATTCCTTATTCTTTGACTGAAATGGTTAAAAACTGAATTTTCTACTTGTAAGGATGTGGCCACAGAACCTAAATCAGAATAGTCAATCTCTATACATAAGAACTGTGGTCATAATTTAGAATAAAATGAGACAAGAGAAGACAACAAAGATGAGATTAAAGAACAATTATATTAATGATGAAAGATTTTCTGGGAGTGAGGCTATAACAAAAAAAGCTTTTTTTATACTTCAATTCATCCATTCATTCAACCAATACTGAGAATGCATTCCGTAAATCTAAGTGTTAGGGACAGGAGGATTAAAAAGATAAGACACTTTTCCTGCCTTCCAGGAACTTCCAGGCTGCTTCAGGACACTGAATTTCCAGGCCCTGAAGAAATTCAAGCATGAGCACTTAGTAGGGGTGTTGTATGGTAGAAAAGATTCCAGCATTTGTTGGGGGATTAGAGTAGTTCAGTGGACTTCTTTTCTTTTTTTTTTGGCCGTGCCGCAGGATCTTAGCTCCCCAACCAGGGACTGAACCCAGGCCCTGGCAGTGAAAGCGCTGAGTCCTAAACACTGCAGCACTAGGGAATTCCGTGATTTTCAAATTACACTCCAGACCAAGGGGTTTCCTCAGAGTCCACTATGAGGGTAGGTGAGGTGGTGAGTGGCTCGGCCTCCAGGACAATTCCCTACTTCATTCACAGTAGTTGTGCTTTTAAATTTCTGAGAATAATGTTGTTTGCATCCAGGTAAAAAGTTTTAAAACCACAAACCTTAACCTTCTTTAAGGTCCCTTCCAAACTTGAGTTTATAATTGTAATAAATATTTATAGCTATTAAAGTCCTCAGAATTGAATCAAACATTCATTACTCTTGTTCTTCATAACTCTTTGAATATACTTACACTTATGTAATGCTCCTGTTCATCTTTGAAATCATCTTTGTCCATAAGAATTTTTTGAAGTGGTGTTCTTAATTGTTTTGGTGTTAATACAGATGAATCAATATTTTCTATTCGTTCTTTGTCAGTGGTCACTTTTACTTTGAAGGTGTGAAAAGGTGTTGGGATTTCTCCCACATTTAAGTACATAGGCTCCCCTTCAAATATCACTCCTTCACAATTACCATCCTTAAAACCAGGAGGCTGGTAACCTGGGGGTGTAACTGCAGAAAAGTAAGTATAAACTGTGCTGTTCATGAAACTGAAGAAAATACATTAATTTTTATTATTATAAAATATATGCAGATTAAAGAAATTTCAAACAGTATAGAAGAACATATAATAAAAAGTAAAAATCACTCTCCTACTATCTCCAAGTTCCTATTTTATTCCTTAAAGGTAAACTTTTTTCCCTACACTTGACTGACTATGTGACCTTGAGGAAACTACTTGTCATCCTTGATTTGGTTTCCTCATCCGTCAAGTGGGGTAAATACTAGTACCTACCTCATAGGGTCACTGTGGTATTAAAGTCTGTAAAATGCTCAGAACAGAACTGGCACAGAGTTAAGTATTCAATAAATGTTAGTTATTATTGTTGATGCTTTATGTTCTTCTAGAAGATACGATGCATGTAAAGTATATATTTTATATATTTATATAATAAATATAATATATAATATTTAAATTATATAATAAATACATGTATATCTCTTTAAAAAACACAAATGAGGTCATACTCTTCTGTACCTAGCTGTTTTTAACATCACCTTTTTTTTTAAAAATTTATTTTTATTTTTGGCTGCGTTGGGTCTTCGTTGCAGTGCGTGGGCTTCTCATTGCAGTGGCTTCTCTTATTGTGGAGCACGGCACGTGGGCTTCAGTAGTTGTAGCGCATGGGTTTAGTTGCTCTGTGGCATGTGGGCCAGGGCTCAAACCAGTGTCCCCTGCATTGGCAGGCGGATTCTTAACCACTGCGCCACCAGGGAAGCCCTTTAACATCACCTTTTAATCTGTTTTTAATATTTTTTGGATAACAATTTATCAGCACATTCTTTTAAATAGCTTGCACAGCACTACTATATAGATGCACCATAATTTATTTACTCAGTCCTCCAATAAACAACTCAAGGTTGTTTCCAGTTTGTTCCTGGTTTAACCAATACATTATGAAAATCCTCATAAACCTATAACCTTGCAAGGTTGTCTAAGTATATTCGCAAGATACTCTTCTAGCTACAGAATTTCTGGATTAAAGAGAATGTGCCAAATTTTGATACTGCCAAACTGTCCTCTTAAAATGTTACATGGCACCTATATACATTCCCTCAAGAGTATACAAAAGTACCTGCTTACTCCCACACCCTTGCCAACAATGATTTTACAAGTTTTACTGATCTGATAACTGAAAAATGGTATCTCATTGCTTCACTTCCTTAGTTATGAATGAGGTTGAACTTCACATGGACATGTTCAGACCACTGGAGAAGTTGTGTATATTTTTTCAAATACTGATATTAAATATAAATTTTATAATTTCAAAAAATATATAACAATTTAGGTGCTTACAAACATTTGGGATGGAAACTGTTTCGATGACAAGAAAATATACAGATATCAACTGAAACAGGATGAACTGGAAATAGTACCTTCATCGTAGTAAAAAAGTTTCATGGTCAAACAAACATCATTAGGTAAAGGTCCCAGATTTTGCATTAGAACATAAATCTTGCGAATGAGAAGAATACTTGCTTTCTTGGTGTCAGCAGATGACATACTAGATTCACTGCTTTGGTTTTTACTGGAAGAGAATCACACATTAATTTCTTTTATAGCACCCATAGCTTCTAATAACATAACTTCACATTTTACTACTTGAGATTCTTATTCCCATTAAAGCATTAAGTTGTTAAGTTAAAAATTGTGATATAATGTGTTTTAATGCCACTATTATAAAAATTAATATCAGTTAATATTATTATTATAAACTAATTTACATATATTAAATATGCATTTTATACAAGATGTTTAAAGAAAACGAATGATGGACTTTTATTGTATTTCTTTTATTTTAATTTTTAAAAATTTATTTTATTTTATTTATTTTATTTTTGGCTGCACTGGGTCTTCATTGCTGTGCATGGGCTTTTCTCTGGTTGCAGCGAGCAGGGGGCTACTCTTCGTTGCGGTGTGTGGGCTTCTCATTGCGGTGGGTTCTCTTGTGGAACACGGGCTCTAGGCATGCAGGCTTCAGTAGTTGTGGCACGCGGGCTCAGTAGTTGTTGCCCACAGGCTCTAGAAAGCAGGCTCAGTAGTGTGGCGCACGGGCTTAGTTGCTCCGTGGCACGTGGGATCTTCCTGGACCAGGGATCGAACCTGTGTCCCCTGCATTGTCAGGCGGATTCTTAAGCACTGCGCCACCAGGGAAGCCCTTTACTGTATTTCTAATAACTTAAGCATACAGTGGCTTTCCTACTCTTTGGCTCTGTTTCACAATCAAAACAGTATATAATTAGCCACAGAATTCTGGCTTGCAGCCACTCCAAGAATATTTTGTATCCTTGATGGTTAATTGGGGATGTTTGAGAAGTTTCAGAATTATTCCTGAAGTTTAGCTATATAGTATTAATAAGTGGTAATCTGTAATACAAAAAGAAAACTATAGAACAATACCTTATGAAGTCCATGATTGGTCCATTACTGGTGTACTTGAATTTAAACTGGTAACATTCTGAAATTGTCTTAAATAGAAAATACTGCAGTTATGAATCTGATATACAGTACTGGTGGCCAAGTAGCTATATATAGCTTTTGTATGACTCACCATTTATTTAATAATTTCTTCTGCATGTTAATCCCTATTTGTCCATTGAAACTTTCCAGTCCTAATAGTCAATTCCCAGGGTCTGGGATTTGGGGCTTCAGTGTTGGAGAGAGAGTTATTCCCTCGGTCATTGCAATGTATGTTTTACATACCAGAGGGAAGGAACTCCTTAGCAGGCAGGTGAGGGAGGCAGCACATCTCTTCCTCTAACAGAATGACTAAGCACAGGGCTTCAATCCTTGGTAACCACAAGCAAGTCATTTAAGCCCACTAAGTCTCAGTTTCCCCAGCTAATAAAAGGGGTTGAAAATAGTACCTATCTCATTGGTGCCTATGAATATTTATCAAATGGGATAATTTATATAGAGCCCTTAATAAAGTATCTGGCACACTAAGCATTCAATAAATATTAGTGCATCAGCAATGTTGCTCTTTTACTGAAAGAAAAAATGTGCAACTATAAAACATCTTCAGATGTACATTTTCTGTACATTTTCTGAACAGTTAGTTTCTGAGCAATCAAATAATTCATAGCCTTTGCCCATATGATTTCGTCACCATGGGCATATATTAAGCATTAATTGTAGGCTTAATTTGTAGTATCAAAGAAAAGACATTCCTAGCTCTCTTGAAGCTCTAATACTTTTATTGCTTTCTTTATATTCCATTGCTCACTTAGGGATGGGGTTAGCTTTCTCTTTCTTTTTTAAAAATCTGCTTCTCCATGAGTGAAGGAAACACGATATTGTAACAGCTATAGTGTAATGGGTAAGCACTCAGATCATGAACTGGCCTTCTTAGGTCCAAATTCTGGTTCTGCCACTATGACCTTACACAAGAAACCTTGTGTCTAGGTTTCCTCATCTATAGAGTGGAGATGGTAATGATATATTACCTCATAATGGTTATAATGAATAAATGAGATAATGCACATGAAACCCCAAAGAACAGAGCCTAGGAATAGTAAGCACTCAGTAGATCTTTCCCCTTTGTTTCTTGTCTTCTGGTTTTCCCTTTCATTTATTATAACCCTTTCTTTCCTTTAACTGTCAGATGAACAGGTAGATGTGACTGGATTGGAGTGAATATTCAAAGATTAAGGATGAGTATCTTATTTTTCTCAAACTCAAACATTTTATAATTCTAAAACAAGAATATAATTAAAAAATATTGCAAAGAACCAGAAGTCAGGAGATTTAGGTTATTTCTAGTGGTTTGTCTTTGTGGCCTAGGCTCAGTCACGTAATCTCTCTTGTAGTAAGTGTATTAATCTGTTTAAATATAACAATACAAGCCCTGTCTTACCTCAAAAAAGTCTTTATGAGGTTCAAATTTTGAAAATATATGTGAAAGTGCATTGATAAAAGCACAGTTAAAAGCACTGGATATTATTATATTTTTATGTTACTTATAGATATTAGAAGCATTATGGGGGTTTTTTGGCATTATTTTTTTTTAATAACTTAAGCATACTTACCTGAGGGTCTTCTGGATTACTATATACCTATTTAAAAATAATTTACAATTTAGTAAATTGTAGAGGCTAAGTATTCAAGGAGAACTAAATTGGATGTTTAGACTAAAATATTAAATGAATTCAGTAAAACAAAATACAAAACGACCCCCTCAAAATATTAGCTACTTTTCCATTGAATAGATCAGTAGTTTGTATCAAGTGACATGATCAATAGGTGGTTTTAATGTTATTTAATTAAGCAAGGCTGAATTTGACAGTCTTTAAAAAAGAATATACAATTTAAAAATACTTACAGCTAGAACAACCAACCTTAGCTGAAACAAAACAAAGAACAAAAATCTTACTTTTTTTTAATTAATTAAATTTTTATTATCATAGTTTAAATATTATATGTTTCAGGTGTACAACATAGTGACTCACAATTTTTAAAGGTTATACTCCATTTATAGTTATTATAAAATATTGGCTATATTCCCTGTGCTGTACAATATATCCTTACAGCTTATTTATTTTATACATAGTAGTTTATAAAAATCTTATTTTTATTCTATGAAATATTTGTGCATGATGGACCATAAGAATTCTTTGTCCTTTTTCAACATTTATTCCTAATAAAAATAATCTTACATTAAATAGACTTCATATGATGCATGTAAAGCAATACCTCAGATATCTTTCTCTATTCCCCAAAATATCTATTTCTAGTTGACTTACTGAAAGTTGAAATTCATATCGCTAACTTAAGCAAACGGGCATTACTGCCAGTTACAAGGAAAATATGTATTGTGAAATAACACATTAAATATTACCAATATGAGAACTGATTCTGAAAAGAGAAAAAGAGAGTTCAGAGCCCTGCTCATTTAGTAAAGGGAAGAGGCTTTGGAGACTATAGAATCACAGAGAATCAAAAGAGAATCACAGGAAATCATTCACTCAAGTAATCTGCCAAAATCTGAGTCATCCTTGATTTGGATCTTTTCCTTATATTCCAGAACCAATCGTCAACAAGTCCACTCAGTTCTGCCAGATATATCCTGAATCTTCTCATTTTTCTCCTTTGCCATCCTGGTCTAAGCCACCATTATTTTTTATCAGTACTGTAGTAATGGATTAAGTGTCATTCTCCTTAATTCCAATCTTATTCTCCTTCTACAGTACATTCTCTAAATAGCAGTTCAGAGTGATTTTTCTTTTAATTTAGAATATAAATCAAATGATGTTACATTTCTACTCAAAACCTTCAAATGGCTTTTATTTACACCTAAAATAAAATCCAAACTCTTTTTTTTTTAAAGACTTTTTTTTTCTTTTTTTGATGTGGACCATTTTTAAACTCTTTATTGAATTTGTTACAATATTGCTTCTGTTTTATGTTTTGGTTTTTTGGCCCTGAGGCACGTGGGATCTTAGCTCCCTGATCAGGGATTGAACCCGCACCCGCTGCATTGGAAAGCGAAGTCTTAACCACAACCACTGGACCTCCAGGGAAGTCCCAAAATCCAAACTCTTTACCTACACAGCTCTGAATGCTCTGGCCCTGTCCATCTCCACAGGTTCATCTCCTGCTGCTCTCTTGCACTGCTCACCACACTCTAATCATTCTGGCCTTCTGTTTGTTCCTTGAACTCTCCAAACTCCCCTCCAACTCTTTGCATTTGCTGCTCTGTCAGGAATATTCTCCCAAAATCAGTGCCTAGCTGGTTTCTTCTAATTCAAGTCTCAGCTTAAATATCACCCCCTCAGAGAAGCTCCTCAGACTACCCTATCTAAAGTTACCCCATCTCTCCATTTGCCACATACTTTTTCTTAAAATGTTAATGGCAGTTAACACTATTGGATGTTATCTAATTTCCTTGTTTTATTGACTATTTTCCCATTATAGAAGGGACCCTCTTCGTCTTGTTGACCACTGTTAGCTTACCCAGCTCCTACCTAGAATACGTGCCTAGCACAGAGGAGGCACTCAATATTTAATGAATATTAAATACATTATGTCTTAATGAGGGAGGTTGGTGACCATGGATAAAATTTTATCTTTTTCATAATTTTTTTTAGAGTTGGACTTCTTTGTATATATTGATACAAACATAAGCTAAGTAACTATACAAAAAGGCTTGTCACAATTTAACCTAGACTACATGTAAATTTATTTCTGAACTCTCATGAAGAAATAACTTATTAAATTATTAGTATAAACATGATAATAGAAGGCATGTGAAACTAATGAATAAACTATTTTAAAAGACTTTTTAATTCATTAAGTTTTTGTAAGTTAATATGTGTTATTAATACAAATGAGTGTTAACAACCAAAACTTGGCAAAATTCGTTAAGTACTAATTCTGTTTGCTTTAAATGAGTTGAAAATCAGTCTTTAAAATATTCAAATTTTCAGCTTTGGACTGGCCTATGCCCAAGTTAGTTTAAGTTAATCTTTTACTACATGTAACGGCTGTTACATTTGTAGAATATAAACTGTAGAAAAAAAGGATAAAGAGATACCGACTTACATATTTTTTCTCTAAAGCATCATAGCATCCGGACATCCTAAAAAATAATCAAGGATTCATTTTTAGACTGAATGCACTTCCAGAAAACAGTTCTTTTAATGTCTCCATATTATCTCATTACTAAATAATACACGGTTTTATTATTAAAGCTTCCTTCTTATTAACTAGCTTAAAATAATAAAACAAAACAATGTGGCAGAAATATAAAATGTCAATAGTGGATGGAAGGAAAGGAAGATAGAAAATATCTGGCAGCTATTTGTGAGGAACAATAATAGGAAAGTGAAGCCTGCTCACATGGAGCATGAAATAAAGTAAAATTTTAATGCAAAAATCCAAAGACCTGCAAAAATGGTATACAGAGTTAAAGAGGGAATCACTAAAACTGGGTTAAACACTTAAAGGTATCCAAGGCACAAAAAAATGTGATTTAAGAAAAAATAATTTTCTTTCATTAGGTATTTCACTTACCACTTCAATAACTGTGTAGATCCTGGACAATCCTTCTGTTCTCTCAGAATTCTGACACACATATCTAAATGCAAAAATAATGATATAAATATAGAGCTACTTAAGATTAGCAAACAAATAGAAATTTAAATGAAGATTATTTTCTTCAGCTGTGTATTACAGGTTTATTATTAATGGTAATTAACTTCCAGATGATTGATGTTAATATAATTAAAGGAAGAAAGTTTACATGGAAACAAATAATCTTTTTATCCTTTTTATAAAATTGCATCATAATGATTAGGATGTATGTTGATGGGTAGAAAAATTTTTCCATTTTCAAAGCTATAGAAACTTAGATATAACACTTTCATGCCATTGTCATCCAAGAGTCTTAGCATATTTGCTATGGACTCTTATCCCAGTAAAATACTTGTAAAAGGCCAAGAAGTTAACAGGCTATCAGATAGAGCCCTGTAAGGAAGCAATAAGTAATATAGTGGAAAGGATGAGGTCTCTCAGTCTCAGGTTCCTTATCAGAAAAATAGGAGTAATATCTAACTCATAGGTCTGTAATGTGAACTAACAAGATATCATACATAACATGGTGCTTAACATATTGCCCACAGAGTTGGTGTACAATGTTAGCTATACATTATGTGCTAGGCAATAAGTTATTATTATAGTATAAACTGGCTCTATTTTACTTCTTTAAAAGAACACAAGAACATACACTACCACTGTAGGAGGCTATAAATAGGATGTTTTTGCTATTTACTTCATCATTATAAGAATAATGTCAGGTGATATTATACTTGAGAGATTAAGGGAAATTTTTATGATTAAGTGCTTTCAAAGGTATTGAATATACTTTAAAAAAAATCACTTAGATGTCCACACAAAAACTTGTACAGGAATGTGGCATTATTTATAATAGCCAAAAAGTGGAAACAACCCAATGTTCATCAACTGATGAGTGGATAAATAAAATGTGGTATATTCATATAATGGAATATTATTTGGCCATAAAAAATGAAGTACTAATCCATGCTACAAAATGGATGAATCTTAAAAACATTATGCCAAGTGAAAGAAGCCAGTCACAAGGGACCACATATTGTATGATTTCATTTATTTGAAATGGCTAGAATAGGCAAATCCATAAAGACAGAAAGCAGATCAGTGGTTGCCTAGGACTGGGAAGTGGGGGAAGTGGAGAGTGACTTAATGGGTATGGGGTTTCCTTTTAAGGTGATGAAATGTTCTATAACTGACTGTGGTGAATATACCCAAAATCAATGAATTGTGCACTTTAAATGAGTGAATTGTTAGATATGCAAATCATATCTCAATAAAGCTGTCATTATAAAAACAAAATCTCTAAGTCAAAAATTATCATTTTAGAGCAAGCCAAAATAAAAATAACATCTTTAAAGAAAGTCTTTAAATAAACATTATATTACCATATAGATATCTTGTTCCATAAGCACATTCCGGGAATATTCCTCTCAAATACGTGATGCAGGATATTGAAACTGCTAGAAGCCTCTTCACTAACACTAAAGACTGCTGCTCAGTTGATATCTTACTGGGAAGTACAAACGTACTCTAAATTCAAGGGAAATTAAAACATTTTATTTAGATTTACTAAAAATACAGTCTTCCTGAACTTAAAAGTAGATCTAATTTTTTGCACAAGCATGGTACTTTCCCAAAGAATTCTTAACCATAGCAGTTAGTAATCCCCCCCAAATCAGAGTGGCTTCTAAAATGTGAGGGTGTTTGCAGGGTAGCAGCCTAAAGGTAACATGCAAAAAGTGCTTAAGAATCGTGTTAGAAATCCCTTGCACATTAACTGTCTGTAACTGCATAATACATGGATAGATAACACTGATTTTTCTCTTTAGTCACTGACTGGGTTTAACACAGGTAACTGTAATGCAAGATCTGTGAAGGGAAGACAATTTTATCTTTGTGGGGCATAAAAATTCATTTTCTAGAAGCGGACTGCTATTAGTGATAATTTCATCAAAGGAACCTAATAGCATTCATTGATACCTAATGTGAACTGAATTTGAACCAGCAATTTAATACAATGCATCAAGCATCCAATAGAATTCTCCATTAATTCAACTTAGTTTAGCAAATATCTTCATTCTTAAAACATTGAGTTTACTGATATCACTAAACCCTCAAAGAGGTGACTCTAACTTTCTAACATAAAAATAGGTGAGACTTCAAGAAACAATAAAATTAGCTAAATTAAAATATATTAAAATACAAGATCATAAAAAAAAATACAAGAAATCATACCATGGAGGTTCTGTGCAATTGTGCAGTGGCCATCCTCTGATAAAGTATTTTCTTTCATTCAACCTTGTGACACAAATACAAGCTTTAACTTCAGATCTTATTTTTATCACTAATTTGGTTTACTATATGTAAAGTCAGAAAGAATTTTATGTGACTGAATGACAGGATTTTTTTTAACTTAAAATAGAATCTTCGAAAACATATTCATTTTTCTATAGAACTCTTTTGAGTAAAGTGCTAAGTTTAAACCATTTGACTAGCAACCCTCACATAAAAGGGTTATTAATAAAGCTCTTTAGAGCTTCCCTGGTGGCACAGTGGTTGAGAGTCCGCCTGTCAATGCAAGGGACACGGGTTCGGGTCCCGGCCCGCGAAGATCCCACATGCCGTGGAGCGGCTGGGCCCGTGAGCCATGACCACTAAGCCTGCACGTCCGGAGCCCGTGCTCTGCAACGGAGAGGCCACAACAGTGAAATGCCCGCGTACTGCAAAAAAAAAAAAAGAAAGCTCTTTAAGAGACCTCTTTTGTGTGTGTGTGGTACGCGGGCCTCTCACCGTTGTGGCCTCTCCTGTGGGAGGTGGGAGGTGGGAGGTAACAGGAAAAGACATTAAAAAGTAAAAGAATAAAAGAAAAGGGAAAGAAAGGAAACAAAGAAAACAAAAACGAAACAAACATGTATTACGTAAGGTCAGAGGGTCCGGCGGCAGCGACCAGGAGAGAGGCACGACGTGGCATGCGCTTTGCCCGATGCGCTTGCGCCTTCCTTCTACGGTAGCCGGCAGAGGCGACTCAGTAGGCTTTTGACCTTTGGTCGGGGTCACCTTTCCCGCCAAGAGCAGCGCAAGGTGCGCTGGGAACACCAAGAGCCTGAAGGACTCCTCTCAGCCAGAAAAGCCGCACGTTAGCGGGGGAAGGTTAACAGCATGTGCGAAGAATTCCCGATATACATAGCCGTCTTACAGTGACCAAGGTGTTCTCAACGGCCATTTAATTAGTCAAATTAATTTCTGATTGTTTTCTAACTTTTGATTTTGTTATTGGATCTACCACATACTGCATTCACGCTTTACAGTTCCTGTGTCTTCAGGAAACCAGCTGCCCTAGCAGTCTCCTACCTAGATGTTTCCACTGTGCTATATCTGTGGGGACAGTGTTAGCTTTACTGTAATTAATGTCTCATTTAGAAGCAAAATAAAACTCAGAGCTGGTAGGTAGTTGGAGAATGTTTAGTAATACAAACTTCTTAGTTTGCAGATTGTTATACATGCAAATAAGTTGTGTTAGTAGTGTAGATATATATTAATTTCTCATAAACTTTGGTATGTCTGCATTACCAGTTAGAAAACAGCCACCCCAGATATGAAAAGATTTTCCCAGAGTCAATTAGGAGAGGAATGAAGACCAGAACCCTGTTTTCAGGGTCAAAAATAGTGAAAATCCCCTGGTCTATTTATTTTGCTTCATATTTCCCTTACACTTAAAGTTTTGTAAATAATTAAACAGAAACCTCAATTAAATAGAGTTGGGAGATCAGAATGGGGAGTTCTCATGCCCTGAGAGGGAGCAGAGTCCAATAGGAAGGACTCCAAAGAGTACTTCCCAGGACTTCTGCTGCCAGTGTCCTTGTCCCCATGGTGAGCCACAGCCACCCTCTGCCTCTGCAGGACAACCCCCAACACTAGCAGGTAGGTATGGTTCAGTCTCCTATGGGGTCACTGCTCCTTCCCCCTGGGTCCTGATGCACACACTACTTTGTGTGTGCCCTCCAAGAGTGGAGTCTCTGTTTCCCCCAGTCTTGTCCAAGTCCTGCAGTCAAATCCCACTAGGCTTCAAAGTCTGATTCTTTAGGAATTCCTCCTCCCGTTGCCAGACCCCCAGGTTGGGAAGCCTGACGTGGGGCTCAGAACCTTCACTCCAGTGGGTGGGCTTCTGTGGTATAATTGTTCTCCAGTTAGTGAGTCACCCACCCAGTGGTTATGGGATTTGATTTTATTGTGATTGCGTCCCTCCTACCGTTTCATTGTGGCTTCTCCTTTGTCTTTGGATGTGGGGATCTTTTTTGGTGAGTTCCAGTGTCTTCCTGTGGATGACTGTTCAGCAGTTAGTTGTGATTCTGGTGTTCTCGCAAGAGGGAGTCTCATATGTTTGGTTTTTTTTTTTAATTTAATTTTATTTATTTTTTTATACAGCAGGTTTTTTAAAATTTTATTTATTTTTTTGTACAGCAGGTCCCTATTAGTCATCAATTTTATACACATCAGTGTATACATGTCAATCCCAATCTCCCAATTTATCACACCCCCACCCCCACACCCCACGGCTTTCCCTCCTTGGAGTCCATACATTTGTTCTCTACATCTGTGTCTCAATTTCTGCCCTGCAAACTGGTTATCTGTACCATTTTTCTAGGTTCCACATATATGTGTTAATATATGATATTTGTTTTTCTCTTTCTGATTTACTTCACTCTGCATGACAGTCTCTACAAATGACCCAATTTCATTCCTTTTTATGGCTGAGTAATATTCTATTGTATATATGTACCACATCTTCTTTATCCATTCGTCTGTTGATGGGCATTTATGTTGCTTCCATGACCTGGCTATTGTAAATAGTGCTGCAATGAACATTGGGGTGCATGTGTCTTTTTGAATTATGGTTTTCTCTGGGCATATGCCCAGTAGTGGGATTGCTGGGTCACATGGTAGTTCTGTTTTTAGTTTTTTAAGGGACCTCCATACTGTTCTCCACAGTGGCTGTATCAATTTACATTCCCACCAACAGTGCAAGAGGGTTCCCTTTTCTCCACACCCTCTCCAGCATTTGTTGTTTGTAGATTTTCTGATGATGCCCATTCTAACTGGTGTGAGGTGATACCTCATTGTAGTTTTGATTTGCATTTCTCTAATAATTACTGATGTTGAGCAGTTTTTCATGTGCTTACTGGACATCTGTATGTCTTCTTTGGAGAAATGTCTATTTAACTCTTCTGCCCATTTTTGGACTGGGTTGTCTGTTTTTTTAATATTGAGCTGCACGAACTGTTTATATATTTTGGAGATTAATCCTTTGTTTATTCGTTTGCAAATATTTTCTCCCATTCTGAGGGTTGTCTTTTCCTCTTGTTTGTAGTTTCCTTTGCTTTGCAAAAGCTTTTAAGTTTCATTAGGTCCCATTTGTTTATTTTTGTTTTTATTTCCATTATTCTAGGAGGTGGATCAAAAAAGATCTTGCTGTGATTTATGTCAAAGAGTGTTCTTCCTATGTTTTCCTCTAAGAGTTTTATAGTGTCTGGTCTTACATTTACATCTTAATCCATTTTGAGTTTATTTTTGTGTATGGTGTTAGGGAGTGTCCTAATTTCATTCTTTTACATGTAGCTGTCCAGTTTCCCCAGCACCACTTATTGAAGAGACTGTCTTTTCTCCATTGTATATCCTTGCCTCCTTTGTCATAGATTAGTTGACCATAGGTGCATGGGTTTATCTCTGGGCTTTCTATCCTGTTCCATTGATCTATATTTCTGTTTTTGTGCCAGTACCATATTGCCTTGGTTACTGTAGCTTTGTAGTATAGTCTGAAGTCAGGGAGTCTGATTCCTCCAGCTCCTTTTTTTTCCCTCGAGACTGCTTTGGCTATTCGGGGTCTGAATAGCCCCAAAGAGTCGTATATATTTTTAATGGCATTGTCCAGTGGACTCCTAGTTCTGGAATGTTTAAGTCCTCTTGTTTCTTTACCTTTTTTTTTATCCAGTTAAAAGTTTTGTCAACTTCTATGGTGTCTCCCAGACTTGCTCTTTGTTTTTGATTTGTTTGTAATTTTTTTCCTTTATTCACAGTTACAAATTTTGTCCAGAGTTTTAGCGCCACACATATACTTGCTGTAGTACCTTCAAGCTAGTATTCTTTTTATTTTCTTCAAATCATCCTATATACAGTTTCCAGAGTAAGACTTTTTTTAATTTCTTTTTTGATTTAACATTTTTATTTTATTTTATTTTTTGTGTAAACTATTTTATTTTTAAAAAAAGGCTTTTTATTTCTGTAAGTTTGAAATTACTTACAGCTAAAAATTTCTCCTTATATTACACATACAATAAAGATTTTTGTTAAATATTTCATTATTCTACTTACTAGTTCAGAGGTTCTTCACCTGGGATCCACGGATTCCTAAAGGATCCATGGATAGAATTCAGAAAATCTGTGGATTTTTATGGGGAAAACAATAACATCTTTATTTTCATCAACCTCTAACTGAAAGCATTTCCTTCAATTCTGAACATAGTTCATAAAACACAGTAATATTAGCAATACTTGTAATTCTATCACCCAAAGAAAACTCAGATATTTTTGTATCACATTACAGTTTTTTCAGGTATCTTCAAATATCATTTATACTTGTCACTCTTTTAAATTTAAGATAGTTATTAACTCTTGTTATTTAATGCATTTTTAAAGAAGCATGTTTATGGTGAACTTCCTAGGATCCTTCTCAGTGATGTAAGTTGCTGAGCCAAGTGTTATTTTAGCCATGGTTGTGCCTCCGGTTTATGTAAAACACACACACATCACTTAACCCTGTTTGTATGAAATGTCTATATCTTGAGTATATCAAGAAAAATCAAGGTGAAAGCATTCTTGAAAAAAAAAGAAACATGTTTATTACTATAGCACAAAGTTATATTTAAAATTTTTAATAACTGTATTTCAATATAATCAGCATCCTTTGTAATTCTATGTATTTTATTTTATGGATTTAAAAACATTATTCTGAGAAGGTGTCCATAGGCTTAATGAGACTGACAAAGGTTAAGAACCTATGTTTTTGTTCCATTTACAGTGCTTGAAAAATTGTGGGCAAAATAAAAATTAAAGAATAATCAACTAAACACTTTTTATTTTAATTTTATTTATTTATTTTGTCTGCATTGGGTCTTCGCTGCAGTGCACGGGCTTTCTCTAGTTGTGGCTAGTGGGGGCTACTCTTCGTTGTGGTGTGTGGGCTGCTCATTGCAGTGGCTTCTCTTGTTGCGGGGCATGGGCTGTAGGTGCACGAGCTTCAG